GGGGGTGGGGGTGGGGAGCCGCCAAACCTCGAACTTAAAACTTACACTCACTATTTTCTTCGAAAATATATGTGAGTTCCACAAAATTGTTTTGTGGGTTCTTCAGTAAAACGCGTTGATTGAACAGTTTATGATATGAATAAACCTTTAAAAGGGTATTTGAGCTTGTGAAGAACGGATTTTAGCGGTTTTTTAAGTACAGAAATTTTTTACAGTGCAGGTTTGTATTGTAGTTGATCAGAAGCAAAATTTCGTTCATCCGACGATGGCAATTCGATATTGGATTATCTCAGCGTTTTTAACGACGGTCGTCGTTGACGTGTTTGAAGGAATTACACCCAATGCCACAAATATGACAGGAAACTATACATCGGATGGAACTGTTGGATGCTGTGGAGGTGGTGGCAGAGCATCCCCCATGCCTCGATAATCGCTTGAAAACCGCCAGTTCAACGGTCACGGTTAAGCGACAGTTAACCGGAGGTTTTCAAGCGGTAGCGAAACGGTTCACTCGGTATAACCAGTTGCCGGTTGCCAGTTACCGTTTTTGAAGCGGCTGATAGCGGATCTGCTACTTAAATCAGTTTCTAACCACAATCCTCTTTGCAAATGTTAAATTTCAATGAATATCATCTGTTCTTTAATAAAATCATCAGTTACAAGTAACATTAGATGAACAACATAAATAAAATGTTTATTACAGCGTTTACACAGAAAAAAAAGAAACACGATGATTACATTGATATTAAGTTTGATTACATAGTAGACACAACAAAAGAAATTCAACAGATAAGTAAATATCATAACAATAGGAAAGAGTGAAGACAGTCTTCATGCATTTTCAGGTTGCTGACTATTGGTTTCGATAAATCGTTGAATAGCAGGCGAGTTTCTTATTTCCTTGTAAGGATCCATTTTCGCCATTTTATTGATATTTCGTCGTTTCTGCATGATGCATTCATGAGCAGATAGTCAGTATGCGTCCAGTTCGTCTCTTGAGAGTCTAAATTTCTGTCAAACTGCTTCTGAAGCAGACAAAAAATAATAGCAAGAATTGTCTGCATTCTACTCGCTAAAAAAGAAGGTCTGTAGAACTTTTTTTGGTTCTGTGTTTTACCCAACGGCAGAATCCTTAAAAAAGGTTTTTTAGACAAAAAAAAGGTTCCATAGAGATTTGCAGAACCTTTTTCTCGTCTACAGAACCTTTTTTAAAGGGTTCTGCTGTTAGGTAAAAGACAAAGCCAAAAAAAGGTTCTGCAGACCTCCTTTTTTTTAGAGAGTACTACTTGACTCTAATGAAAAGGAAAACATACCTTTTATGAAAAGATAACATTGTTGTTACGCATGTCTTTTAGTTCAATTAATAGTAAACCTTGCCGCCTAAACACGATCTCCACAACTTTCAGATTATAAGCATCCATATTCAATCAACTACCGATTATTATTAGCGTATTGGTTTTTTTCCCAATATCCTCCTCGCCATCTTGAGGCCACGCCTAAGAAAAGAAATTCTCAGCGAATCGATGAGAATTATTACTCACTAGAACACACTCATGATTGATATGAGTAGTGTCATCTTCATTGACGTTCTCGTCGCCGGTCGATAACGGATCATGTAGTGGCACGTACACCTAAAATCAGATATGTCAGTCATCATTATCTCTTAGAGAACTCACTTGCTGTTGACGAAATGCCTTTTGAATCTTTTTTTTTGATTGTCGAAAAGATGCTTAATACTTTTCTCGAAATGATCTTGTCCAATAATTAGCCGTTTGAACTGCTGACCATTGCGTACATCCGTAGTCTTCAAATAATCGAGAATAGACACGTTGAACAAAGATTGATCTTCATTGATATCTTCGTTTAAACTATCAGTGCACTGGAAACGTTTGTGTGACTGTGACATAGCAGTGTTGAGTTTTTTCGCTTTACTGATGGTGAATCTTGTCGATTTATCGCATTTGGGAATGATTCGTCATTATCTTTTTGTTCATCTAATTGAGAAAAGCGCACGGCTTTAGTGACCATAGTTATAAGATCTAGCAAAGAAAAAAGCCAAGAGTAACATTGAGATCAAGTATTATATAATAAGATTTAGTCTATTTTCGCCGAAAGTGGATTTCGCCAAAAGTTAATTTTCACCGAAAGAAATTTCGCCGAAAATGAAGTTCGCTGATTCCATTATCGCCGAATCAATTTATCACCGAAAACGGATATAAGTTGCATTTAATCGGTCTTATAGACAACAATTATATTTTAGTTAATTAGTCCATGATACCAGGCCAATTGATTACCAAATGAGATGGCTTCCACGTCGGTTAGATTGACTTCCAAGTCAGGTGGCTACCAAGTGAATTGGTTACCAAGTCAGATGGTTACCAACTGACTTGGTTACCATGTCAGATAGTTACCAAGTCAGTTGGTATTAACTCACATGGTAACCAACCCAGTTGGTTGCCAAGTCAGATGGTTGCCAAGTCAGATGGTTACCAACTCAGTTGGTTACCAAGTCAGATGACTACCAATTCAGACTCATCACCGTACCCAGCACGCCCTCACCCTCGCCCTCAAGATAGTTCGAAGTTTCTTATGGTGGCATCTATTTAACCAGTCAATAGATTACACCGACTTGATCACCAACTGACTTGATAATCATCTCAGTTGGTAACTATCTGAGATGGTTACCAATTGACTTGGTAACCAACTGAGATGGTTACCAAGTCAGCTGGTAACCATCTGACATGGTAACCAACTGACTAGGTCGCCACCTAACTTGGAAGTCAAGCCGACCGACTTGGAAGCCATCTGACTTGGTATCATAGATTAATTATCTAAAATATAATTGTTGTCTATAAGACCGATTAAATGCAACTTATATCCGTTTTCGGTGATAAATTGATTCGGCGATAATGGAATCGGCGAACTTCATTTTCGGCGAAATTCATTTTCGGAGAGAAAGTTTTTCGGCGAAACTGGAAGTTACCTATAATAACAGAGAATTCTTACCTTGCTTTGTTATTGAAGGCGACAGCATACCGCATGGATCTTTTCTACTGATAGGTGGTGTTGCTGAATGAAACGATACAATCAATATTTAAAGTTAATGAGCTGAACTTACTTGGTAGAGGTAATCTACTCATTGTTTTCAGGAGCAATCTTTATTTTTTGAACCAGAAAATATACAGAGTGAAATAGAAAAATATTAGAAAACATACTTGACTCAACTGTAAGTGTCGAGGAATCGAATGTTGGTGGAGTTTTCTTGGTCACCTCTACGTCTGTGTCTATATCCGTCGAAATGACCCTCTCTAAAGCACGTGCCGCTGCTGCGCACAACTTCTTGGTGCCTAGCAAAATATATAAGTGAATGATAGACTTGAAAAAGGCACACATCTTCTCGAGCAATTGTACCCTTGACACCATCAACTTCTACGAATCGAAACAAAATCAACATGTCGACAGAATGATCATCTCATCGACAGAATCTCTTACTAGAAGAGATATTACAGATGTTGTCAGCAAAGGCCACTAATGAAGATCGACAAAGACTGTTTCAGCAGTTGCAACAAATACAACAATCGCAGCAAAATCATCTACAATTACTGGCTATTTTTCAACAACAATTACAACGAGTAAGATAGTTTGAATGACTATGATTAGAGAGAAGTTGCTTTGTTTTGTTCGTATCACTAGTCATCGTCAGCTGCTGGTGGTGGTGATGATGAAACCACCACTGTTACCTCCACGGCCATCAATGTTGCAACTCCGAGAAGTGGCTGCTATCCATACATGTTGGGCAGTTCACCGGCTCCTCGGCTTTCAAATCCACGTCTCTTGGAAGATTATCTGGACTGGTATCTCAATGAATATATTGTGGCTGAGCAACAAATTATGAGATGGGTAACAACAAGATCATAGAGATAAATAAGATACATCTATTTTATTTTGTGTCGTTTAACATAGGCGGATATACATGCTGTCTATTGTGCCGAATTAGAACAGGAAGAAGAGAACAAAGCAAATATCATGATGTATGATGCTGCGGCTGCGACTGCTTCCTCTTCTTCTTCAAAACCAGGCTTACAAGCGACACCAACACTTGCTCCGGCCGATGATCAATAGAGTGGTGATGTCGATGTCGATAATGATGACAATGATTACATGCTTTTTATTGTTTAGTAAATTGTTCATTTTTTTGTCGTATTATCATTAAAAGAACAAAGAAAAACATTAAAAGAATAAAGAAGAAACATCAAGTTGTTTTTTTCTTCATATTCTAGATCTTCTTAATCTTATCATGTGTGGTAAGTGTAGTAAAACATTTATCGCGGCTGCTGGTGTTGCTGCTAATTCGGCAACACCATCGTCATTGAACGCTCAAGAACAAGAAGAACTTAATAAGAAGAAAAAAATTGTTTGAAGGAGTACAAACTATCTTGTGTGTGTGATGAGAATAGAAGAACAAGACAATGTTCAAATGAATTTTCTCTTGATAGAAGGCCGAACGATTGTTCGGCTATTCAGCATCTACGGCAAGCCGTCTGTTACCGGCATGGACTCCACAACCACGGACTCCTCGGAAGAAATATGACAAAGAACTAAGGTTTATTTATTTCGATCTCGGCTTGAATGGTTCAATGTCGTCATCATCGCCGATGATGACGACAACAAGCAGAGATCCGGCGGATAACAAGGAGTCCTTTGAACAACAGCAACAAGAAGAAGGAGTTAATGTCGTCTGATCTTTGTTGTTGTTATTATTTTTATCATACTTCGTTGAAATAAAGAAACATCTTTTAGTCTAGCATCCATGAGAGTTTTAAATGCGCATAGTATTGAGGGTATTTTATTTTGATCCGTATTGTAGATTCTCATCCATTGGTAATCAGAATGGCGTCGTCGTCATCATCATCGTCATTTGTCCGTTTTTCAATGGATATTTATGTCATGCTATTGAATGAAATTCAGGTCTATTTGAATTCTAGTAGCTGATTGGATACATAACCTGAAACAACATTTTCTTTTGTGTTTCAGAGACATGTACGTCGACAAGAGGAACAACGGCAAGCGACTGATTTTGCGACTAAAGGATCGTTTATTCGGGTTCTAGCAGAGTCAGAAAATCAAGATCCTTTGTTGCGAGCAATTGTTCCATGGGCATTGCCAGGCAATTGTCAAGATGATGAAGACGCATTTTTTCGGAATTTCGAAAATTATCTCATTAATCTTGCTCAACAATTTCGTCCGCATTTTCCATATAAACAATCGATTATATGGTCGATCGAATATGGCGACAATCGAGAACATAGCATTCGTTTGGTGATTAACCCACGCCGTTCATGATTCTTTTTTGTTGCTGATTTTTTTATTAATAACAATAAAAACATCTTGAAAAAAAGAAGAAAAAGAAAAAGAAGCACAAGCAGATAATAACTATATCATGTATCTGTATTTATAGATCTTTTTCTTCAAACTATAACACGATCATGTCGAGACCAGTGAAACGATCAGAAGACAATCAAGAACAGCTTTCAGCGCCATCTCTACGGGATTAAAATAAGAAACACGACAGAGCCGGTTTAGTCGTAATATAGAAACTTCGCCACCTCTATCACAGTCCATAAGGGAGTGAAAGGGGCACCATGTCGACATATCTGTCACGGTCTGTGGGGCGGGGTGGGGGAGTTTCACTTTTTCTCATATATACTTCAACACTCATTTACAATTGTGTTTCACAAAATTGCCAAACGCGAGCTGATTTTGCAGCATTTTTCACCAATATTGAAAAGGTCGATGTTTTTTTGGGGATTTCTTTTTCAAAATGAAAATTCTATTGCGCTCAGTATACGTACAATTTTATGGTGCATCTTTCTGTCATAACAGCTTTTTTATTGTAATGAACTATATTTCTGAAATCGTAGGTAAGGTTGTAAAAAATACTGTTTTTGGAATGAAAATGTAATTTAATGGAAACATCTGTTTCTCCGCGACTACTCATTTAAGGAATGGAAAAAAATCAGGGTATATACAACTTTGGCTGCTCTATCGAATCATGTAAAAATTAGTCATAAACCTTGTACTTGTAAAATTTTTCCAAATTGTATACCGATAGGGAATCAGAAGGGTCATATAACATGTAACTCTATCAAAACAGGAACCGAATTTCGAAAAAAATTCAGGGTAGATGCAGTTTCACTAGCTCTACAATTTAGTTATAAATATATATATATATATATCATGGGAGCACAGTGGGCAGCCAGCAGGAAAAATCGATTTTCGAGATTCGAGTCGAGAAGGTTGCAACTCGTCACGTGACGAGTTGAATTTTTCAGAAAAAACAGGGCTTTCGTAACGCTAAAAATAGGGATATACGAGAAAACAGGGATATCGTAACAAAATTTACAGGGCAATCGTAGCTGTTATTTACAGGGAGTTCGTAACAGTTGCAGAGTTTTCGCAACGAGCCAACAGGGATTTCGTAACAAAAATTAGGGGTATCGTAACGAAGTCACACATCAAACCACCGGTTACGATCACCCTGTAAAATTCGTTACGATAGCTCTGATTTTTTGTTACGAAACCCCTGATTCTGTCGTTACGAAACCTCTGTTACGGGCTTTCGTACTGTCAATTCGTTACGAAAGCCAGACAAGAAAAATCGTGACGAGTTGCAACTTTCCCTTCGAGTCCATATCGTAGCTAGCATTGAAGCTACTATGGTGCTGCATTTAAGTACATCTTGGATGCCGCTCTATAGAGAGTATGTAGTAAATAGCAGGTACCATAACGTACGTAAAATAGGTCAATATCATTAATAGGACCACATAAGTAAAATATCTGTTTTAAATTAAGGATCTAGTTATATCCGTTAGTTATTATGTAGTTATACAGTGTTATGTATTTACTATATATTACAGACCCTTTGGACCTCTTGAAGGTCTTTAGACTATAATAAGATCAAAAATTACCATCAGTCAAGGGGGACACAGCGGACTTCAAGACTTCAAGACTTCAAGACTTCAAAAGACTTCAACAGACTTCAGTCGCAGTGACTTCATAGTTTCACAAGACTTCAAAAGACTTCTAAAGACTTCATAGGACTTCAAATGACTTCGCAAGACTTCATAAGACTTCGTATGACTTCATGGGACTTCATGAGACTTCAGAGACTTTGTAGGACTTCTTGAAACTTAATAAGACTTCATCCGACTTCAGAAGACTTCACAAGACTTCATAAGACTTCGCAAGACTTCAGAAAACTTCAGAAAACTTCACAAGACTTCGAAAGACTTCACAGGACTTCAAGAGGCAGATTCCATGCGTATCAAAAAACCTTATAGAAATTACATGAAACCTCTATAACATGCAAAAAACAAAACTTATCAAATAGTAGGGGTCTCATTTACCGTTTACTTTATAAAAAATATAAAATATTTATCATTTAATTTACGCGTAAATTAAATGAAAAGTAAATATAAATTGACACCCTTATTCATAACAGAGTAACTAGTGTCTTCCGAGAACCACGAACAGGAATGATATTGAAAATTGATTGCTCCCAAAAGTCTGTTTTGTGAAACTCATGTATATTTTCGAAGAAAATAGTGAGTGTAGTTTTCAGTTCGAGGTTTGGCGGCTCCACCCTCCCCTCACCCCATTACAGACACTTAGCAACGGAGAAAGAGAACATTACGGACATACTCCCCCCCCCCCCCCC